CATTGTGAATGAAAGTGAAACAAGTTAGAGATCATCAATCGTTAATCTGGCTAGTGGCTAGGGGGAATCATACCTAAGTGAGTTCCCAACCTGTAATTAGATTAACTTTAACTGTAGTTTGCTAGAGTAGTTTTAGTTCTTTCATCTTAATCTGTTTTGCTAGATAATGAACTGAAGCTGAGTAATAGTAACTCTAGAGACCCGTGGATTCGATATTTATTACTTGAGCCACTATACTGCAGTCCCTTTCATTGGTTACACTTGGCCATTGTTAGGTGTTGTGTCATAGCGAGTCATAACTCTAACTATTTTTCATTCCATATGTGGCGAATCGCTAATGGCCGGGATCACCAACAAGGATAACCAACAAGGCAAAATAGATAAATGTGTCACGCTACAATAATTATGTCTAAGTTTTTTTAGTAATAAGGCATGATCAGCATTTATAAGCAGATATAAAGAAAATATAAAATCGAGAAAAAATAAGACAACACCTACCCTCACCCTTTAACCAATCGATACCATATGCTCTAAACCATCAACACCTTATAACCTACCCATATACCATATACTCTATACCATCAACAACCTAATACCCTAAGTCGTCAGTACCCATTTCCTTTAACATCAACACCTTATACAACAATCGTATACCTATACGCTGATAAAATTTTACATTTTGAAAATACTTGGCCAACTAAAGTACATAGGTACTTCAAAAGTGAAATTCTAACTTTCGTTTCAAAACATAAATTAAAAAAATATCCTCACTCAGTATCCAACCACAAGCCTCTAATTAGTCTACAAGAGGTTTGTTATGTACGAGTGCATTGCATAAATAGGGGAAATCGGTGAGAGAGTAGAATAGGATCTCAATTAATGAAGAGTTAAAATTGGGCGGATTGTAGTTTACCTCGTACCGCTAAATGTGTAAAGAGACACGCTAGCATTTACCGAATCCCAAAAAAGATGGAACACAGAATTATGTTTAAATTGCGTGAACTCAATGCATGATCAGGATTTTAGAAGCAGAAGCAGATGAAAATAAGTAAAACAAAGAATCGCCACTGAGATAGACAATTATCAAAGGCCCAACCTAATGACAATCCGGAACTCAGTATCCATTATCAACAAACTAGGTGTCATGGGTCATGTACAAGCCCACTTTTGAATGTTATTGAAAAGCCTGCAAAAATCAATGATCAGACCCAGTCCAACTAGAATTAGTCCTAAACGCACCGTTAATACATAAACACAAATTAAGGAGACCTCTCCATCTGATTCGAATCAAATTAGGTCTTCTTCATCTCCTTCCTCAATCCTCTGGGCGAGACGAACACTGCATATCAGGAAACCTTAATTTCACCGAGTGATAGAAGTTTCGAGAAAATGACAATAACGCCAAGACAAGATGACAAAGCACTAGCGACATGAACCCTAGGGTTAGCAAACCTCTTTCAAGGGTTCTTTTGAAAACGAAAAGTTTGATGAACACAATAATAGACATGGTCGCCGTAATCGTGTTAGAAAGAGATAGGCGAGTAAATTCCGCACGGAAATAAAATGGCGATGAACAAAACGTCGATTTATGGATAAAAGAATTTGGGGTTCAAAACGATGATTATGTGAGGATTTCATATTGGATGGGGATCTTCTCTTCGAATGTGGATACATAGATTTGGCGTATGAAACATGATGATGTTGGGGATTTGAGATTGGATAGGGAGCTAAATCGAATGTGGATCAAATAATAAAAGGATTTGGGTTTCAAAACGATGATTTTGTTGGAGATTTCAGATTTGATAGGCAGCTTATGATCGAACTTCGAACTTAGAGGGGACCCTCCAAGGCGAATGAGGGATCGTAGAAGGGAGACTGGAAATTGGTTAGGGCGGCGGGTCGTATCCATAGGGTTTAACCTCTTAATCGATATCATTAAACCGGGTACAGTTAGGTTGAAGTCCAATGAATAAAGCATAAACGCTTCGTGATGCTTTTGGTAATTTTCCTTGCCCCGGGTACCCTCTACCCCTCCACCACAGGCGTCTCAGAGTCAGAGAGAGAGAGAGAGAGAGAGAGAGGTGGTTGGGGGTAACCGGAGAGGAGGGTCCGGCTATAGGTGGCGGCGTCGGGGGTGGCCGGCTGTAGGTGTCGTCGTCGTCGAGCAACAGGTGGTTAGGGGTAGCCGGAGAGGAGGGTACGACTGTAGGCATCGTCGTCGGGGTGGCCGAGGGGAGGGTGGCAGCCTGTAGGCTTCGTTGTCGTCGAGGGTGGTCGTCGGGGGTGGCCGAGGGGAGGGGCTGGTGTAGGCGACCGACGGGATTAGTGCGACAGAGTGGTGGAGGCGGTTGCGGCGGGTTTGGCTGGAGAAAGGGTAGGACTAGGATTTGGGTAGATTATATAGAATAATCGGGTGTGGTCACTTTTTCAATTCCATAATTACCCTAAAAGAATCTTGATCGTAAGTTTAAAAAAGAAGGGAAAATGTGAAATCTAATGGTATATAAAGAGGTTGCCACCGTGATTACTAAAAAACAAGTAATCACCCTAACCCATTCCTAAGAGGGACTTAGTCAACACATTCTAAATGACTTATAATTCATATGGGTTAATTGCAAAATTGCTCATTGGAATTACTAAAAATGTTCATATTTGGTCACGGTAAAATATTTAATTCCATTAGTGGTCACTAAGTTTACTAAAACATGTCATGTTTGGTCACTCTCCGTTAGTCTTCGTTAGCCTCTATTAACAACGTCAATTTTTTTGTTGATGTGGATAATAAAAATCTCTAGTCACCCAATTTTAACCCAGAAAACTTAGAATCGGACCCACCACACCATTAAACCCACCACGTCATAAATCCAACCCAACCTAACCCGCCCGAACTAAAAAAGCATGTGATAGAGCTAGGTTTTCGCGTGAAGGCCACCCGAACCATCGCCGCCCCCACAAATATGAAATACCCAGAACCACCGTCGTCTCCGCCGAAATCATCCGACCTGACGACGTCACCCGGACCAACGGGGCCGTCCATGGAATCGAGCCTCATCTCTCAGTCCATCTAGGAAGACTTCAACCGGCGCAGGAATCCCATAATCCCAAAATCCAGAAATTGAAACCACAAAACACAGGACGAATCAAAAGCCTAAAACCCAGAAATTGAAACGCTAAAAACATAAATCGGGAGGAGTTCGTCGATTGCGACGGAGAGGGTGGATGTTGGGATTCTCCTAGGTTGATTGCACTGGCGATCTGCTTGGGTTCGCTTGGGTCGCAGTCGAAAGAAGAAGACAAGTTGTTGGATTCGCCATTGTTGTGGTTCTTGAATCGGAGGTTGGCGGCGAGCATGGAGTCGGCAACGACGATGATTTGGTCGGTAATTGGAGGAGGACCGAGTCGGAATCCCTACTCAAATCCCCCGCGCGGACCGCGTACGACTTGCCCCCCTGGAGATCTCGGGCGACGATAAGCTTCTCGGCGATGGTCAACCACTGCTCCGTCTCCTCTCTACTTTGTATGACTCGCCACCTCTTCGAATTTTTTGGGTTGAGATTAATTTTGCAGGTTTCCAATTTTTCCCCATTTCTTTCTTTGTCTGTGAGCTTAGGGCTGAAGAGAACGTGAGTGAGAAGATGGGTGGGTGAGAAGTTAGCCATATCCCAAATTTGGAGATAAAGAAAGATGGGGAAGATGAATAATTTCGGGGCGAGGGAGAGTAAGAAGGTTTAGGTCGGCCGGGTCAATCAGAGAACAAAAGAAGGGTTGGAAATTAAATACTTGCAGTGAAATATCTTTAGGCCCTGTTTACTTTCATTTCTGTTTCCTTAGGGCCCTAAAATATCTTATTCGTCGCCCTAAATTTTATCAAAATGACTCAAATATCCTTGACCCTGTTTACTTTCATTTCTGTTTCCTGTTTTTGAGAAAACAGATGTTGAAAACAGGTGAAAATAACATTTCGTCGTTTCCGAAAACAGCAGGAAGTTGTCACTTTCTGTTTTCATAGTTGGAAACGAATAGAAAATAGAATGAAAAGTAAACAAGTTTTCTCATTTCGGTTGCCAAATTTATGACATGAAAACAGAAAACAGGAAACGAAAATGGAAGTGAACAGAGCCTAATATTTGTTTTCAAAACCTATGAACGCTAAAACAAACTCAGATAGTAATCAAGTAGGGAGCTTTCTTGTGCTGCTGGCGGCGACACGATCCGTTTCGTTTCTTGTACTTTCTTCCTCATTTTCTGTGATATTGTTGGTTCCTATGTCGTTCTCGCCTTATCCATCGGTCTCCCTTCCTCGTGATTGTTCCGGTCGTCAATCAAAATGTTACAACCTGAAGGAGGAGGCGATCGGAGAGGGAGAATAACAATGGCGGAGGAGAAGTCGAGCATCAAGGTGGAGAGTGAGTACAAGGAGATGGTTAATGCCGCTGCCGATAAGAAGAAGTGCAAGGGGATTATGTAGGGTTTGGAATACTATTTTTAGACTACACGGTGGCGATGATATTTAGTAGCGGCTGAAATACATTTCTAAGGAGGGAGCTGCTGTGTTAACCAGAATGAAGAAGCGATCTCTCACATGGAGGGAGATGACCAGGAACCTTATTGCCTTCTCTGTTCTATTCGAGGTTCTTACCTTGGTTAGAAATGGGCTAGAGGGTAAAAATGTCAATTTGATATATTTTAGGGCGATAAAATTTAAATTTTATGGCGACGAATAGCGATCCAGTAATTGATATTGGGACTTCTTATTTTGTCTCTTAGCTCAACTCTCAAACCTCACATACCCTTCTTTTATGGATTTTTTGGTTCGAGATTTATCGAGGTACGATTGTGGTCGATTATTAATGAAAGTGAATTGAGGATTAAGAATGCCTTTCACTACACATATGATATGTTAGTCAACATGATTATGCTTATTAAGCATGAGTTGTCATTAAATTTGAACTGAAATTTGTTAAAAATAAGAGTAGAGAGACTTATTGGTAACTATCCTTAAACTTGGTACGGTATCGGTAATTCTGGAAAACCGAACCCAAACTTCCCGCCCTGAGGACAAAAGGTCTGGCTGGGTCGGGCGGGGCGATGTCTTCGTCTGGTTTAGGGTTTCAGCGGAGGAAGTCTTGAGTTCCAAAATGTCACCGATGGTCTCTTCTCTCTTCTTCTTTCGATTTTCTTTATCGTTTTCGCCTTTTATTTCCCGCAACAACACAATTTCGCGACGACTGAAATTCTTATCTTTCAGCAGCAAGATGAAGAAGTAGGAGGAGAAGGAGGAATTGAAGAAGTTAACCGAGAAGAAGCTGATCGGAGATTGCTGTCGAAGGAATTGGAGAATTCAGTTGCAGCTCACCCGGAAGATGCCTCCCTTCGCTTTCAACTGGTAAGAAAGCAGATTGATGGGTTCCGTGGTCTTTCCTCCTCTTCCGCCCTTTTACTCTCTCTTAGTAGTGTGGTTAAATTCTCACTCAATTTGCATTTGCGGCTTATGCTGGCGGCTGCCAGGGGGTCTCCTTATGGGAGAATTCTGGGGACTCGTCCGAATCCAAGGAGAAAGCGGCCGAGCATTTCGTTGTCTCCGCCAAATACAACCCCGGCCATGGTCCTACTTTCAGATACTTGGGCCACTACTATTGCCGTGTCTCCCTCGATTCTCAGAGGGCTCTCAAGTGTTACCGCAGGGCCCTCGCCATAGACCCTGATGACTCGGAATCTGGGGAAGCCCTCTGCGATATGCTAGATAGCTCCGGAAATGAGACCCTGGAGCTGGCTGTCTGCAAGGAGGCTTGCGAGAAGTCGCCAAGGGCCTTCTGGGCTTTCCGCAGACGGGGTTACCTTCATCTCGACCAGAAAAGATGGTCTGAAGCTGTCCAGTGCCTTCAACACGCCATTCGTGGATATCCTGCTTCTGCTGATTTGTGGGAGGTAAGTATTATCTCTTCTCCTCCCTGGCAACTTGCCTCTCCTCTCTCTATATCTCATTGTCGCCCTAGTGAAATTCAATCTCTTGCATCTTCTGTGTAGGCACTGGGTCTTGCCTACCAGCGGCTTGGCATGTTTACTGCTGCTACTAAGGTCCGTCTCTTCTGCTTCTTTTGTGGTATCTCTTGTAGAAGTTGCCACAGGGCTTTTGTTCTACTTATCTTCTAGCAACCTGTGTTCTACTTTAGGATTTCTTTCTGATACTTGTCCGGCCAAATTGGATAAGTGACATTGCTTGAGAACTTATGAGTTATGACACAAGTAAACAAGACATGTCCAGATTTGAAAGAGATAAAAGGAAAAGGAAATCCAAAGAAACTGGTGCATTTCAGTCATGCCATAGAAAGCACAGCCCCAAGAAACCTATAACAAAAGCAATCAACCCTAGACGAGATTTTCACTTTAACACAAACCATTACCTCCTATTGTGCTGCTGGTAGTTTAGAAAAGACTTGATAGGGAATGCTTTTGATCTAAGGACATCTGAAACTAGCAGATCTTGATTCCAGCTCTTAACACTGTGTTTTGGATCTTTTGAATTCCTTATGCATTCCTTGTTATCTCGTGGAGGCAAGGCAGATCAGTTTCTGTTCAAGATCTTTTGGGACTCAGACCCTTTTGTGGGGAAATTTCTATTCATTGGGTGGATGCCTGATTTAATTTCTGAACCAGTCATATGGTCGCGCCATTGAGTTGGAGGATACAAGAGTCTTTGCTCTGGTTGAAAGCGGAAACGTCTTCCTGATGCTTGGTTCCTTCAGAAAGGTATCATTTGCCTGTTCCATGTGTCCACTTTTCATATGGTGTAGTTGCTTTCTTTCTTTCTTCCCTTTTGTTTTTGACTGTGTGAAGATCAGTTATGGTAAGATATAAGGTTTGACTGTTTATCTCTTTAACTGCTATGTGTGTCTGGCTTGATTTTTGTGTGACCTTCATTCACACAAGGGAATCGAACTATTTCATCAAGCCCTTCAGATTTCACCCAAAAACATATCAGCAAACTACGGGCTGGCATCTGGACTTCTTGGGTTATCAAAGGAGTGCATGAGTTTGGGTGCATTACGATGGGGAGCTTCATTGTTGGAGGTTGTTAGAATTTCAAGCTGTGTTTTTGTCTCTGACATATCTGCGATCAGAAAAGGAACTTTCTCACAGTTGTTTTTTCAATACGGCCAGGATGCCAGTAAAATAGCAGGTGCAAGTGCTCAATTGGCTGGAAACATTTCGTGCATCTGGAAGTTGCACGGTGACATACAGGTATACTATTTATAGTGACAGGCAGCCTTCATGAATCTGTTCAACCTCATTTAGACAACACCCACTCGTGCTGATTCAGACCTACTCATTAGCTCTTTGCATTTTATAAACATGCTAGTGACTTGACATATGTCCAATTTTCTTCCAGTTCTAAATGTAATGTAATCATTGAGGTAGTTGCTAGGGCGATTCTCTCAGCTATGTGAATACTGTTTTTCGTTTTGCCTCCAGTTCTCATGATAATACATGTACTGGAACTTAAAGTCCAAATTGTGCTGACTGATGGGAAAGAAAAGGCAGAAAAATTATTTAATGTTGATTTGTATATACAATTTACTCTAACGTGTGAAAGAAAAGACCTTTTTGGTCAAACAGGGTAGAGATTGGTGTAATGAGACCACAAAAACCCTTAAGACAAGCTTTTTGAGAGAAGCAATCTTGATTTGGTGTACAATAAAGGGAATTACCATGCTTAGTTGCTTCTCTTGAACTAACACAAGCCTTTTACTCTTCTTCATCTAGATGAAAGTGTTTGTAATAATACTTGGAGTTCTTGGTTACTAGAACTCCAACATTTGTCTCGTACATCCCAACTGCCCAAAGCAATAAGGAACAAAGAGCTGTGTGTGATTTCATAACTATGCATGTCTTAAAGGATGCCAAAATGATACTTCCTACTATGACATATATATCTTTGTTTTATTTATTTCCAGATGCTATGTGGTATGGTGTTTCATCCACAAGCGAAAATTCCAAATTCAGCCACCCTGCCTGTTGGGAATTTTCATTTTAGAACTACATAATAGTAAAACCTAGGTATGCTTATCTTTTGTTTGACTTGTATAGTTGGTACCTTTCTTAGATCATATGGTCAAGACAATCTTTGTTGCTTCGTTTAATTATAACATAGCAGGCTTTTAGCAGGATTGACTCTTAACAGATTTGCAAAAAGTTGAATCCTTTTTCTGTGTTCTTGTTACCACGGAATGGTCAACTGGATTTGGCATGTGAGTTCAATCTAAGTGAAAAGCCACAACTTGATTTGATAGCCCTACCATGTTTTCCTAGTTACAAGCTCATGGGTCGACTCTTTTGTTTGGTGCTTTCATATTGTTGATTCCATGAATACTGGTGGTTTTGTTGTTGGTCCTTGTGACATTAGTTTAATGTCTCTTCATCTTCCAGCTCACTTATGCAAGATGTTTTCCATGGGTGGAAGACGACAAAATGATACAATCTGACGCAAAAGCTTTCAATGGATCCCTTGTTTCTTGGAAGCAAACCTGTCTTTTGGCTGCCTTCTCTTCCAGAAGGTCATACCTAAAGGCTGTGCACTTGGCCCCATGGCAAGCTAGCATCTATGCGGACACCGCGATAGCTTCAGATATGATTTCATCTATGGAGGACGAGGATTCCAGTCATGATCTGTATTCTTGGTATGATGTCAACATGCTTTGTTCTTTTTATTAATTGTTTTGTTAGAATGCCCTTATCTGTTAACTTAACATTGTTTTTTCACCCAGGCAGCTACAAGAAAAGATGGCTTTGGGAGCATTGCTACTTGAGGGTGACAATTATGAGTTTTGGGTGACACTGGGTTGTTTGTCTCGTCATACAGCATTGAAGCAACATGCTTTAATCAGGGGTTTGCAGTTGGATGTGTCATTAGCTAGTGCTTGGGCATACCTTGGGAAGGTATTCTTCAAATCTTGTTGAACACCCCCACTCCACCCTTTTTCTGTCTTTCTCCCTAACGTTTATTACACTAACTAAGAAGACTTAACATCGCCAGGATCTGCTTTATATGGCCAATCATTCAGTATAGCAATAATATTATATGGTAATTTTCATGATAAGGAAACCCTTTTCTTGATAATTATTTAAGCCATAAATATATATTTGTAGCCCCTCTGTTAACAGCAAGAAGGTGCTGCATTTTGTCTATCACTCGGTTAGTTCAAGAAGCTGCAATCATGGTATAGGAACTCCGTCCTATCTGTGCCAGATTGGTACCAGTTTGGAGATAGAATCTTGCTGCTCCCGTAAGCCTCACCCTAGTTTCTATGCGTGAGATATGAGGTACTGATGTCCAATTCGGATTGGTTTCTTGTGTATTATGTAGGTATTACAAACATGTTAAGAGCACAATTCATAGGCAAATGATTATCAGTTTAATTCAACATGATAACCAATGTTCTAAAATGAACCTGGAAAGTAAACAGAAACTGCCAAAGACATCAGTATTAGTAGACACTAAGATTGATCTCTAACCTGGATTCAGGACCTGAACCATTGCTTCTGACCATGACTGATTTATATACATCAAAGAACCCTACTCAGCTTTGGCGCTGACTGTTGCTCAACCACTTTTGGTATGGCCAAGGGATCCTTCCTGTTGAGCGTAGATTTCATTATCATTTCGGGTAATGTTCTAAAATGAACCTGGAAAGTAAACAGAAACTGCCATAGACATCAGTATTAGTAGACACTAAGATTGATCTCTAACCTGGATTCAGGACCTGAACCATTGCTTCTGACCATGACTGATTTATATACATCAAAGAACCCTACTCAGCTTTCGCGCTGACTGTTACTCAACCACTTTCGGTATGGCCAAGGGATCCTTCCTGTTGAGCGTAGATTTCATTATCATTTCGGGTTGGTCTTGCTGTGGACAATATGACTTGGTTCAGATTCTGAATGCTGAATGGCCCGTGTGTCGTCCCCAACTGGGCCTATGCATTACGTTGAACTTTACATGAGGATTCTATTTGATTGCTATTAGGCCTGGTCAGTGCTCACCTCCTTCAAAATTGCTATGGCTGAATCACAGTAGTATTGTAACTGTTGCTGCCTTTTGCAGTGATTGAACATGGAAGCAGTCTGGATGTACTGTTAGCATCATTGCAGGCTGATTTTGTGATGTCTGGTTTGTTGGTTCTTCAGATCTACAGAGAAGAGGGCGAGAAGAAATTAGCAAGACAGGCTTTTGATTTTTCTCGAAGCATAGATCCATCACTTGCTTTACCGTGGGCAGGCATGTCAGCTGATTGTTTAAAGTAAGGTTGGGCATAAAATATGTTTTTGTTTACTTTCTCAGTTAAAACTGTTCCCCACATTTATAGTTATTTCCTTTGCAGGGGTCTGAAATCAGACGAGGAGTTCGAAAGCTGCTTACGTGCTGTGAATATATTGCCTGTAAATCTCTTTCTCAAATTCTACTTTCTGGATATGCTTGTATGAGAGAATTTAATTTTACATAACAGACTACGTGTTGCACGCGTTTATCTTATCTCGGCATCTCTGGTACTATGGTTTACCTTTTACTGACATGTTGCTCGAATACTCTATTTTGGGTTAATGCAGCTTGCCGAGTTTCAAATAGGTCTTTGCTATCTTGCTTTGCTTTCTGGGAATCTTGCATCTTCGCAGGTATGATTACTACTATGACTAACCTGATGGAATTATTCCTCTGCAGACTTCCGTGCAAATGAATTTTGCAAGCATATGTTAAGCAAGTTCTTTGAGAATATCGCCTGTCTACGCCGGGAAAAGCCTTACTAGGAACTCTTTATATTGTACAGGTTTATGCAGCCATCATGCAGGCAGTACAGCGATCACCTCAATCTGCTGAAGCTCATAATTTAAACGGGTTAGCTTGTGAAGCACGATTTGAGTATGAGAGTGCTGTTGCTTCGTATAGGATAAGTCGCTGCGTCATGCACAACTCTTCTTGCAAATCTTCAAAGTCTCATTTCCGAGATATAACAATCAATTTGGCTCGATCTCTCGTTAAGGTTATCTTAGTGAACTTGTAATATCTGGTGTATGCATGTTTGGTCTGTTTCTCAGTTAGTTCTTTGGTCGAACTTCAATAACACTATTGCCTGGGGCATATTACTGTCCATGCACCATTTGATTTGTCTTAAACTTCTTGGTCACAGGCAGGGTGCGCTTGGATGCTGTTCATGAATGTGAATATTTGGATAAGGAAGGTAATTTAGGTTTCTGTAATTGCTCTCAGGAAATGATCCATTGGTTCATTTGGATTTGTATTATATTATGGATCTGAAGCTGGGATAGATGCATCTTTATATCAACTTGAAAGTTCAAGATGTTGCTATGCAAAAGAATGAAATTGAATGCCTCTTTATTGATCTGATTTGCATGATTCGAATGATAACTCTTGCTTCATAGCTTTAATTGCTAATCATATGTAGTTGTATAATACACGAGGCATATTGGTTACATTGACAATTGAAAGATGCACTTTGTCTGAATGTTTTTTATTTATGTATTTAGGTATGTTGGATACTGAAGGAATGCAGATATATGCTTATGCTTTATGGAAACTTGGGGACAACAACCATGCCCTTGTTGTAGCACGTGCTCTAGCTGCTGCTGTTTCGACAGTCGGGAAAATATCTACATCTGCTATTGTTAGTTTTATCAGCAGACTGCTTTATTGCATTTCTGGAATAGATCTAGCAATCACATATCTGCTAAAGATGCCGAATGAAGCCTTTGACAGCACAAGCGTTAGCCTAGTAGTGCGCGCTATCCATGCTCTTGACCAGAGTACGAGGCTTCAGTCAACTGTTTTCAAACAGATGTTATCTCCTTTTTTCTGGTGCGGAGGCTGTCGAAATGAACTATTTGATGGCACTTTCTGACCTGGTAAATGTCAGTCTGTTTGCAGCATCTTGGCTTCTGACTTCGTTTCTTTTGGCTGATGGTTGATCTTTTATTTGTTGATATTTGCTTGTTGTTTTTGGCATGCAGGTGAAACATGGATCTGGTGTTCACCTTGCATATGGATGTGGCATTACTCAGCTGAGAAGAGCTCTCCATCTTTACCCTAACAGCATCTTGATCAGGTAGCATACAACTTGAAAAAAGGAAAACATGCAGATTATTCTTTCAAGAGCGCCGAAACTCTTGGAGTCTTCATATAAGTAATCTCAACAAAAACACATTTTTAGAATGTTGTTTTTCTTATTAGCTTCCACTCTACCCTTGGCCTGCTCAAGGAGTTTGATATTTGATTGATAATTTGTATGAACATGGTGTGGTTATGACAGCCTGGTGAAGGCAGCTGCAATTTCTAATTCTGTGAGTTAGTAAAAATTTGAATTTGGGTATTGTAGTTGCTCCTTGAACTAGGTAAAGTTTTTGTTTTACAGTACAGACATCTTGTGATAACCGCGGAGAGAAATGTCGAGGAACTTGGGCTTGTTTGCTGTTACAAGAATAGCGGCACTTATCATATGAAAACCATATTTTGTAAATATTTGTCTGCTTGTTTTTTCTTCTTAATGTAATACTCTGATGCAAATGCCGTGGATGCAGAAACCTTCTAGGTCATCTTTTGCTATCTAAAGAATGGAAAGACACTCATGTAGCAACAGGTGCTGCATAATCCGTGCGCCATTTGGACCACGCAAAGACGGCTTAAGATCAGGATATGACATTCTTGGTGCTGCTACGGTATCTGCTATTCTAGTGGCAGTCAGGACCAAAAGTTAAGTTTCCCCGCTATGCAATTGTATGGGTCAGGAAACTCCAAGAACCATCCACGAATTGCAGAAGTATGTGATTTTAGTTTGGTTAATTTTTAGTGTCTTGCTTTCACTAACAGATCATGCTAATTACTAGCCCAAAACAGATCGTAAAGAAAAGCTGTTCCTGTCCTGTGTTTTCTCTCATCTAAATTTTTTTTGTATAAGGGAAGCAAAATGATGGTTGTCTCGTCTAAATGATCAATTATTTGTTATAAAGTACAGTTTGATAAGATTTGAGTGTTTGGCAATATAAAAACCAATAATTATTTTGACAGCTAAAATAAACGTAACTTTGAGAATAGATTCCTACCTACATTAAGAGGGTAACATCGAAAATGAAATTGTCTTTAATGATGTGGCTCTTAGCCTTATTATAATTGTAAGGTCCTTGAATGTTTGTTTTAAAAATTTGTAAAATATGAAGTATCTTCATTTGAGCTACTTTCTCAAAACCGAGATAGGAAATATTGTCTGTTATTTCTGCCGTATGTTGCTGCACCATCTGAGTTTGCAGTGTATAGTAGAACCCTTCTTAAGAAGTTTGTTTCTGGATTAGAAGTGTAAGAACGATTCTGTGATGCTTATGCTTGATTCTATATTTTGGTTGACTATTATACAGTCGTTTACGCTTGTGTTCTTGCTTCATGTGCAGATACTTGCGCCAAGAGCCATGGAATGATAGTGCAAGATACTTGCTAATCCTTAATCTTTTTCAGAAGGCACGTGAAGAGCGATTCCCTTCACAAACTTGCAGCACTCTTCAGAGGCTTATCTCTGCTGCTCTGTCAAAGAGAGAGCCCCCAAGTGACTGCATGTTTAACCATTATAAGAAGTTTCAACTTCTGCTTGGTGCTTCTGAAATTAGTTTGCACTGTGGCAATCTTACTGATGCCGAGGTCTATGCTAAGATGCATCTTTACTTCCTCTCCCTCATAAGTATCTGTTTTTTGGACACTTGCTATTATCCTCGAGTTTATGCTGCCAAAGGTGATCATATGAATGTTACACTAGAATATGCAAGATGTCTGGAGCTGAAGACTGATTATCATATTGGATGGATATGTCTCAAAATCATGGAATGTCAATACGCTTTGCAAGCTGATTCAAGTGTATTGGAGTTGAGTTTCAGGGAATGTTCGAAACAGTGGAAAAAATCATGCGATGTGTGGATGGCCCAATTCAATTTGGTTCTGGTTTAGCATATCTCTCAAACAATGATCCTTTTTCAGCTGAAGATTGTCTTACACAAGCATGTAGGCTGGTGGAAACCGAGAGCTGTTTCTTCTCTGTCATGGTATTATTTCTTTGTCTTGTGTTACTGGCCAGGTCCTCAGTATTCTCTCTGGCACTAAAACATATTAGACTAATTAATGGATTGCAGGAGCCATCTGTATGGAACTTGCCAGGCGGTTGTCTAGTTCCCAGTTTTTAGTGCGTTCGGAAAGGAGTCTGGTTAAAGCTAGCAATCGTTTTGTGATTCCTGTGCCTATCACATCATTACTTCTAGCACAAGTTGAAGGGAGCCTTGGTCGCAGAGAAAAATGGCAGAAGAACCTCCGCCTTGAATGGTATTCTTGGGCACCAGGTATGCATTCTTACGATTACCACGATCATCTTGTTAATTTTCCTGACTAAGGTGCATTCGATTGACTCGAGTATAATGCTGACTTTTTTGTTTGTATCACTATCTTGGCTTGCATTAGTAGACACGCCGACTAGTCTAATTAGTGAAGCTGAGATCTTGCTTTCAATTTCTGTATTGACTTGTTTCGAGTCCGGTCTGCATAGGGTGATATACATGCAACTCATTGTGCATTTTGATTTGAAATTAATCTGACATGTACGTTGACTTGCATAGATAGATTATTTAGCATCAAGATAAAAGCTCCACCGTTTGACTTCGGGTGTCATCTTGTTTGAAATTTTGCTTGTGTGCCCAACATTTTCCACGTGCAGTCTCCTTCATCGGCTGCCTAACCTGATTGAATTTTCCACAGAGATGAGACCAGCAGAACTTTTCTTTCAAATGCATTTACTTGCAAGAGAATCCGGAGCTGCTGCTGCTGCTGCTGCATCTTCAAGCCTGGAGTTGTGTCAAAGCCCTGAACAATGGGTTCTTAGAGCAATTCATAGCAATCCTTCCTGTTCTAGGTATTGGAGGGTCTTGAAGAAGCTTCTTGACTGAGCTGCTCAACTGAAATAGCACGAACTTCGGTACAAAGTCGGTGGAAGGCGCGATCTACCTATAGATGTTGATGGTCTTATTGTAGTTGGTTATTATGTGCCAAAACTCTCGGTTCATGTTTAATCCAACCTCTGCTCTCAGCTCTTGCTTTTCAGACCACCTGCTGGCTTGTTGCATGCTGCACACCCAGATTAATATCAAGAAGCTGTTGCACTAGTTTAGCCTCAGACAATGTAATTCACTGAATCTGCTACTGTTTTTGTGCAAGTCAAGGGATTTTCTCCACGGGATTCGTTTGTCTTCTTTACATGCGAATTTATGTCGTATTTGGCCATCAAATTTGAAATGTTGAACTGTTTTCAAATATGTAAGTAGAGGTGTGAATTTTCCATCTAATTCATCCACTTAAATATTTAATTAATTCTATTCATTTAAATCAAATCTAATTCATCCACTTAAATATTTAATTAATTCTATTCATTTAAATCAAATTCATTTGATCAAATTCAATTGAATTGGTGGATTTATTGATCTATATGATAATTATGATTTAGTACCTGTATTTTTTATATTTCACTTTTTAGTTTCTAAAATTATTTATTCGACGAAAAATATATTGAAAAATTATGTTTTGGTAACTAAAAATTTCATTATCACATTTTGGTACCTAAACTTTTTGAAATTTACATGAGTTGGTCCAAGCATTGAGTGTCATTTGGATTCATGGATTAATCCACCAATTCATTTGATCTAACTTATGAATCCACCAATTCATATAATCCAATCCATATGATCAATGGATCCACTAATCAAATCCACCAATCCATGGATTAAATCCATTTGTCACCTCCATACGAAAGAAAAGAGATCGGTGCCAATTTAAAACAATCATCCGTTCGAACATGAATATCAATGAATTCCCGAAACTAATACTAGCGATCAAATATATGAGCAACCTTTTCCTTCACTTCCCTTTCATATAGCCCACAATAATTTTGACAGCTCTCACACTATGACCATCGTCCATCTACAATGGGAGAGCCAAAGTGCCAAATACGACTCACAAACAGGATGCTTTTATGGCGATGTCGTCGGCGGACTATGAAACACAAGAAACTCTTCCGTTTTGATAACCGTTGGACTTCTAATCCGGAAGCTCGCCTTATTATTGATTATTATTGGAATATACCTGTTTCGGGATCCCCGATGTACTGCCTTCATACCAAGTTGAAACGTGTCCGGCATGCACTTTTCCAATGGACGTTGGGGGGATGTACGAATTCCCGTCGGCGCATTCATGACCTCACCCATGCTATCCGTCTACAACGGGAGATGCCGATGCCGAATTGGGATTCCATTCGAGTGTTGGAACGAGAACTTACCATTGCTTGGGAGCAGGAGGAGGCTTATTGGCACCAACGCTCTCGTGTTAATTGGTTGCAGCGTGGGGACCGGAATACTAATTATTTTCATAGGGTTACTCAAACCCGTCGTGCTCGAAACTTTGTATCCTCTCTTCGCACTACTACCGGTGTCATTGTTGAAGATGAACAGGAGAAGGGCATGGTCTCGGTATCTCACTTTTCGACTTTGTTTACCTCAGAAACTTCTCCTGCCGACGTTATTTCTGCAGTGGATTCTTTGCCATTACAACCCAAAGTCACGGCTGCTATGAATGAGGCTCTTCTGGCACCAGTTCTTGATTCCGAAATTCGTCATACTTTATTCCAGATTGGTTCTTCAAAGGCTCCGGGTTCGGACGGTTTCACGGCCTTGTTTTTCCAACATTTTTGGGACTTAGTTGGTCGTGATGTTTGTGCTGCGGTAAAATCTTTTTTCCGTACTGGGAATTTGTTGCGCTCCTTCAACCATACCTGGCTTACTCTCCTTCCAAAGGTGCCTCAGGTAGAGACATGTGCGCAATTGCGGCCGATTGGGTTATGCCAAGTTTTCTACAAGCTTATTTCCAAGATCATTGCTACTCGTCTTGGGCAGGTGTTACATAATGTTATCTCCACCTTTCAGAATGGCTTCGTTAAAGATCGTTCGATTATTGATAATGTCATTCTTAGTCAAGAAGTTATGACGTACCTTCGTAATAAACGTACTGGTTACGAGCGTTTTATGGCATTGAAACTTGATATGGAGAAGGCTTATGATCGGATTGAATGGCCCTACCTCTTTCGATTAATGGAAAAATTGGGTTTTGCTCCACGAGTGATTGCGCTTCTCCACAATTGTCTCTCCACGACCTCCATTTCGGTCCTACTCAATGGTGCCTCTTACGGGTATTTTCGGCCATCTCGTGGTTTACGTCAAGGGGATCCGCTTTCACCATTGCTTTTCGCAATTTGCACGGAAGGTTTTTCAGCATTGATATTGCAATCCATTACTCGCTCAGAGCTAAAGGGGATTCGTCTCAATAATCATTGTCCGGTGCTCTCGCATTTATTTTTTGCGGATGATGCTTATCTTTTTCTTCGGATTTCTCCGATTGACTGTCAACGATTATTGGATCTGCTTCATCGATATGAACGGATGAGTGGCCAGCGGGTCAATTTAGCAAAATCAGCAGTGGTGTTCTCTAAAAATACCACAACGCAGGAGGCGACGCTTTTTGGGACCACCATGTGAATTGGTGCAGTTGGGGTTCGTGATCGCTACCTTGGATTACCTTCCCTGATCCGTCGTTCAAAGCGGGATACGTTTCGTTTCATTGAGGAAGCGGTGGCTAAACGTCTCCAAGGTTGGAAACGACGTTGTTTATCACCAGCAGGTTTGGAAGTACTGATTAAATCAGTCGTGTCGGCTCTTCCTGTTTATGCTATGTCGTGTTTTCGCCTTCCAAAGGAACTCTGTCGGAATTTAAACCGTATGATTGCTCGATTTTGGTGGGGTCAACAAGGGACGGAGCGGCGTCTGCCTTGGGTCTCTTGGAGGCATCTTTGTAAACCAAAAGGGGATGGTGGATTGGGCTTCCGGGATTTTGAGGCTTTTAATCAAGCACTGCTTGCCAAACAATGTTGGCGCATTTTGACGGATCCCACTTCCCTAGTTGCGCGGGTCTTGAAAGGAAGGTATTTTCATCAAACGAGTTTCTTGAATGCTGGTGTGGGTTCTAACTCCTCTTGGGCTTGGCAATCACTTCTTCATGGCCGGGCATTGTTACATCGTGGTGTGCGTTGGGAAGTAGGAGATGGTTCTTCCATTGATGCGTTGTCGGATCCTTGGGTTCCTTCAATCCCAGGTTTTCGTCCAATGGTCTTGCCCGCTGCTGATCGGACACCTCGTTTCCTCTCTTATTTCATTTTCCCATTCATCACTCTTGGGATCTTCAACTTCTTGGAGAGTTCTTTACGCAGGATTCCATTACATGCATCATTCGCATTCCTTTGCCACGTCTAATGTGCCCGGATAAGTTGATTTGGCATTTTGATCCTCATGGCTTATTTACGGTAAAGTCGGCTTATCGGTTAGCGACTACCTTGTGTCCAGTTGCCCGGACTCAGGGTTCAGTGGACCAGGTTTCTCCACTTGATCCTAATTTATGGCCTCGACTTTGGGGTCTTCCTCTGGCGCCCAAATTGAAATTTTTCCTATGGAGGATTTATTAAGAATCCTACCGGTTAGAGAGGATATTGCTCGGCATGGTGTGCAGGTGGAAAATTTATGCCCTATTTGTGGTTCAGAAGAGGGGGAGTCACTGGAGCATTTATTTCTTTCGTGTCGTGTGGCACTTGGCCTCCGCCATCGGTGTGGCTTACAGCTGCCTCCGGGAATTTTTCCAAATACTCATTTATCCATATTTTTAAGGCACATTATTCTCAATTTCGATCATTCTACCATAAGCAATTGGGTTCTCTTTTTTTGGCGACTATGGAAAGGGCGGAACAATGTTGTCTTCACACCCTATGCGCAATTTACCACTGCTGCCTTGTACCGTCAATTCCTCTCACATCATGCCTCTCATCAAATTGCCGTCATTCCCTGTCAGTCGCCACCGTTACAGCCCAGACCCCAGCCACATTCTCGTCCATTGCTTCAATCTAGTTTCCGCATTGCTGTTGATGGGGCTACCAGGGCTCCGACTCATGGCGCCATCGGTATGGTTGGGTTTGATCATCTTGTGCCAGTTTTTGCAAGGGGTGGTTTCTTCCCTGGTCTTTTTCATCCCAAGATTATGGAGGTGTTGGCAATTCGAGAAGCGCTTTTATTACTTCGTCAATGGCATTGGCAGGATCGACCGGTCGTGATCACAAGTGATGCTCTTGCTGTTGTTCACCATTTGACGGTTTCTGATGCCAACGATGCTCTTGCGGGAGCTATCTTACGAGAAGTCATCTTAATGTTACAGGAAATGCCGCTGGTTTCTGTTGTTTTTACTCCTAGAGAAGCGAATAGGGCTGCCCATGTTGTGGCACGTAATGCCTTATGCTACTCTGGCACCAGTAGTGTCGTTTTGACTGTTCATTCCTCCTTTGACTATCTTCTCACGAAGAAGCCGTTATTTTGTGGCTATCTCGTGCTTATCTAGTTAATCCGCAAGGGTTTCTATGACAAAAAAAAAAAATACGACTCACAAACAGGCAAGGGAAGGCCACTCGCAGGGTATGTGAAGACACGAAACGCGCTGGTGTGACTGGACAACTGGTCGTGTGATGCGAAACACACACGTCCCTCCCTTTTTTTAATTTTCCAAATTGCAGATCAACCCTCCATAAAAATTTCTCCACCAACCCCCAATTTTTCCTCCAACAACTCTTTTCTTTCCCAATAGCTATATTTTAAAGTTTTCCTATAAATACCACCACATACTTCCCTTCTAAGTACCATGGATTTGACCGTAAAAAAAAATTTAGTAATTACACCATGATTGCATTTTCCTCTATTTTTTTTACCAAGATAATCATATATGGATTCAAATGATAGGTAATTACATCCTGGAGTTCAGCCAGACCTGAAAATCAAACACACGACTCATAGTCGGGTACAGAGAAAGGGCTTTTCGAGCCACCAAGTGGGCTACCCTATTGCTACGCCTACTTACAAATCGCACACTAACCCACTATGAGTGGTAAAATACTGCACAATTTCTTCAAGAATCGCTCTCATCCGAATATCGTTGTTATCTGTCCGATTGATCTTCTCAATAGCTACTTTGGCATCACCGTCAAATCATATCTCCGTGAATCCATGAGCCAGACACCATAGGATGGCCTCACGAAGTGCAAGTAATTCAACCACCATAGGGTCGTCAATGGAAGGGAACTGCACCCCTGGGCCAAGAGGATCTGTCGAGGCAACAATAGCCATAAACAGTGACGGTTGGTGGATAAGAGATATCAGCTTCTTTAAGAAGAGAGGAAAGGGTGCCGACGCAATCATTGTCCAAGATGCTCCATCCCTGAAAGATCCCAAAGCGCACGAGCTACCGTGTAATCAAGAAATAAATGCTCCATCATTTCTGATTCGCATCAGCAGACTGGACACCTAGGAAGCATAGGGACATCCTTCTCAATTA